CAATTTATAAAAATCCAAAAATAGTTTATTAAACATAACATAGCTAAACAGCTTGATTTTGCCTTTAATTATCATCCACCCAAATGTTTGCATAGACTGTCACTACTGGCTTCACTCCCAGGGAGTAAAAAAATAAATAAAACAATTCTTCCTTTTAAGCCTGTCAGTCAATTCCCACCAAACATTGACTAAGATTGAACAGAGAGACAATATGTGAGCTAAAATATGCCTTTTTAACCCCTTATATAATATTTCACTTTGTTAGTTTAGAGTTTTAATGGACAGTTTTATATTGTATTTATTAAATCTTATAATAGATTTACTAAATGCCAAGATTGGGGATGTCAGTGAGAATAATGATGACCTGATAAATGATCAGTCCAATACTACAATTGGTGTTGCAATTTGTAACATTTTCTTTGTATTATCATTTTCATGTATCCATCCATCTCTGATTGCCTTTAATAGATTGTTGGAGCAGCTTTGTTAGATCCACTGTAAACCCATATCACCTGTCCTGAAGCCAAAACCACCACAGTATATTTTTCATAATTAAAAGAATAAAATATTTTTTTATTCCTGGTTTTGTCCCTCCAATGAGATCACATGTTGTTGGAACTTGAGAAGGGCCACTTTCTCTTCAGCTACCCAGCACTAACCTACCTATGCACCCGCCTACACTACTACTTTATTATGACCAATGGGAGCTAATTAAACCTGACTAATTATCAGTATTAAACCATTCTTCAAGAAAAAGCTATTTACCATTCAATCCTCCTCCAGACACACGTGCACTCTGGGACTATAAGGATCGTGGGAGATCTCTTCTGCGAAGCATCAAGGCACACTGGGGGGAGGCCAGGTATTGACCAGGAGGTTCTAATGTCTTTGATGTGTTTACACAGGTTGCTGTGGAGCAGACGTTGTAGGAGAGCCACAGAAATAAATAACATGTACAGTGGGAACATGGATGTTCATACAGCAGCTGCACATTTTGAGTAAGGATCAGTTTGTTCCGCTTTTGAAGGTCCTTACCGGCTGTGGTCAGCAACATATAATTTCAACCTGTGTGTGTGTCCATGCCGTACAGTAGGAATTAGTCATCTGTAATGGCTGCTGATGCATAACATATGAAGTGCTATATTTGGTTAAAGTCAGTGTCAGTTAATTCCTCTCAATTTCCCTTCATCCCCACACAGATCTTTCATCCAGTGAACAATCCTTTATTCCTCCTATTTTTATTTTATTCAATGCAGTAATTACACCCCCGTATTCAAATGTGCTCAAGATTACCCTCCAAGATATTGATATTAAAAATAAAATTAAAAATCCATGCTTTGACAGGCAAACACACACCATTATAAAATGTAATCACAATCATAACTGCGAGATGTAACCTATAGTTCTGCATGTGGTTTGTCCAAGTGGTGTTGCCGTACCCCAGAAGAAACCATTGCATGACTCCTCTGGGTAGGTATGTGTTATTTTCTTTTCCCAAAGTTATGACCCATGACCCATACCAATCTCACTCCTCATGCCTAAACCAATAAAGGCAACCAGTACAAGCCAATCACAATCACTATCCTGTCTCTTAATTATGTGTTGTTCATGAATGAGTCAGCTCCTTTAAAGGTCCAGTGTGTAACATTCAGGAGGATCTATTGACAGAAATGAAATATAATATAAATAGGTATGTTTTCATTAGTATATTCACCTGAAAATAAGAACTGTTTCTGTTGCCGTAGAATGAACCTTTTTTTATCTACAGGTGCTGTGGGTCACCTTCCATCCACCTTTCATCCACTAGTCCACCATGTTTCTACAGTAGACTAGAAGGGACAAACCAAACACTGTCTCTAGGTAGGGGTGTTTCTGCGTTGTATTTAACAATATACTGACAATCATTATCCTATTATTTTGGTTGTATTACATTTATTTAAAAAAAAAAAAAAAAAAAAAGGGCGGGGTTAGCTCCTTGTTCACATTCAAGGTCAGTGTGTCAGATTTAGTTGGGCTTGTGGTGTAAATTGTAATCCTCGTTCACTGTACCCTTCCAAGCGGGAAGGAAAAACTGATGGCAGCAAAATGTGCAACAAAGCGCTAAGCCCCTA